TATCTCAGAAAGTTCCATTCAGTGAGAACTTTGTCTCCGAGTCCTGACCTTGATTCTTCTACCTGTCTGGAAGAGGAGAGAGTGTGTGGTTAAGTGCGTTTGGGAGAGAGAGTGTGGTTAAGTGTGTTTGGGAGAGAGAGTGTGGTTAAGTGTGTTTGGGAGACAGTGTGAGAGCGTAAGTGTGTCTGGGAAGGGAGAGAGAGTGTGGTTAAGTGTGTTTGGAAGAGAAAGTGTGTGGTTAAGTGTGTTTGGGAGAGAGTGTGAGTGTGTTTGGGAGAGAGAGTGTGGTTAAGTGTGTTTGGGAGACAGTGTGAGAGCGTAAGTGTGTCTGGGAAGGGAGAGAGAGTGTGGTTAAGTGTGTTTGGGAGACAGTGTGAGAGCGTAAGTGTGTCTGGGAAGGGAGAGAGAGTGTGGTTAAGTGTGTTTGGGAGAGAGAGAGAGTGTGGTTGAGTGTGTTTGAAAGAGAGTGTGGTTGAGTGTGTTTGAAAGAGAGTGTGGTTGAGTGTGTTTGAAAGAGAGAGAGTGTGGTTGAGTGTGTTTGAAAGAGAGAGAGTGTGGTTGAGTGTGTTTGAAAGAGAGAGAGTGTGGTTGAGTGTGTTTGGGAGAGAGAGAGTGTGTTTGGGAGAGAGAGAGAGAGTGTGTGTTTCATAGGGGAAGAGAGTGTTAGGATAAGTGTGTTTTAGTGTGTCAGGTGTTGAGTGTTTCATAGATTTGGTTAGTGTTTGGTTAGGTTAGGTTAGTGTTAGGTTAGCTTTGTGTTAGGTTGAATTAGTTATGGTAGTTTAGATTAGGATAAGCTAGGTCAGTGTTAGCTCAGTGTTAGCTTAAATTAGGTTAGGTTAGCTTTGTGTTAGGATAAGCTAGGTCAGTGTTAGCTTAAATTAGGTTAGGTTAGCTTTGTATTAGGTTGAATTAGTTATGGTAGTCTAGATTAGGATAAGCTAGGTCAGTGTTAGCTTAAATTAGGTTAGATTACATTAAATTTAGATAAACTAGGTTAGATTAGCCTAGTGTTAAATTAAATAACCATAACTTCAAATCTAGGGTAATTAAAATCTTGAGGTGATTTGTTTATTACTTAAAAATCAATCTTGTTTACTTACTTCCTACGCCTGGCAGATAAACACAACCATCTGTGCCTAAAGTGTCGTACTGCACTTCCTCTCTGCCTCTGTTGACAAGGGAAAAATAATAGAGGTGTCTTCTTTGCTTTGGGTATTAAATTTGCATACTGTAACGTCTAGGAATTTATGGAATAGAGGGATTAGAGAGAGGGAGAGAGAGAGGGGTGGATGAGAGTTAGAGGGGGGATGAAAGAGAGAGAGATGTTGAATGAGAAAGAGAAGGTGAATGAGAGAGAGGGGGTTGAGGGGGTGATTTAGAGAGAGAGAGAGAGAGAGGGGGTTGAGGGGGTGAATTAGAGAGAGAGAGAGGGAGTTGAAGGGGTGAATGAGAGAGAGAGAGAAAATTGCATGTCTCAAATCGTCCAGTTTATCATGAAATGTTGGGACGCAGCTCTACCCAACCAGTACAGTAAATCACCATGAATAATGTAGCTGATAGTGCCAGTTAAGGCTCGTTCCTAGTGCCAGGCTGTAGGGGAGGGAGTGCCATGGGTGCCAGTGTACGAAGAGTGTGTTAGGGGGGGGTGTTAGGGTGTGTGAGGAGGTACTAGGGTAGGAAGACTGTTTTAGCAGAGTGCCAAAATGGTAAATGGAATGTACACATCCACTTGTGTGTGTGTGTGTGTGTGTGTGGACTCAGAACAACACACACACACACACACACACAGAGCTCAACATTGCAATGCATCAACCTGCCACTACAAATTGCAAGATGCTTTCCTTTAGGTTGATCCTGTCACCCTGATTTGCAACACACGCGAGGCTTGATGAGAGATGGTGGCTGGGTGGGTGGGTGGGTGGGTGGGTAGATGGGTGGTTCTGGGTGGCATGATGGGTGGGTGGGTGTACATGAGAGAAAGTTGCATGAAATATGGTCTTCATTTTATGTTGTATTTTTCAAAGCATTGGTGAATCTCTCATACACACACACACACACACATATATATATATACATACATACATACATACATGCATGCATGCATCAGCTCACCTGTTGGAATCTTCAGGTAAAACGAATATTTTCTGTCCAATTTACTATTTTCGTCTTACATGTAATTCATGTAAATCATTTTACCTGTGTGTGTGTAATAATAATAATAATAATAATAATAATAATAATAATAATAATAATAATAATAAACGGTTTATTAATAGAGTAGCAGCCGGTGGCTGAAAATATACAGACTTACATTTGATTTAGACATAATGATATAATATGCATTGAATACATTTACAGGGCTGTATAGTACATAAATCAGGAATTGTGTGTGTAAGTACTATATATGCAGACTAACAGATATATGTAGAGAGAGAGAGAGAGAGAGAGAGAGAGAGAGAGAGAGTTTACTCTATGTTAGATGTCTCTTTCTCCCTTT